TTCTTTATTTAATATAAAATCATTGATAACATTTTCTTCACATCTGCATTTTAGTTTATTATTAAAATATTCTGTTAAATTTAATATTAACGTAATATTAAATTAATGAAAATTATATTATTCAATTCATGAAATTTTTGGATTTTGAAAGAAACTCTATTGTATTTTTCAAATAAATTTTAAAAAAAATATAACGATATAGATCCATAATTGAAAATTAAAAATGAAGGGAAAACAATTGAAAACTATTTTCTCCAATAGTTTAGTGACAAGTTTTATTTTAGATAACGTTTGCACAAACAGTATCAACTTTATGTCCAAACCTTTCAATCGCTTATTACACTTCAACAAAAACACTTTAATATCCTGTCTGAAAAGTAGTCGATCTACTATTGGATCCTGTTCTTAGTGGAGATTTTTAGGTGCGGGAACAAATACCCTCTATTCTTGCACTTGTACAATCCGCCTTTGATTCCTGCTGTCTACAAAAGTTAAGCAAACGTGGACGTTTTTATTTGAGAACTCGTCAATTGATTCCTGAGGGACTTTTTTTATATTTAACATCACTGATATTCTCATCTGATGATCAACATAATTAAAAAATATTTATATGGATATTGTATGAAAATTATTAAACAAAATCTTTAAGGAAATTATAAAGAAAGATGAGATTTTAATTGGGCTAACATATAGAAAAAACTCTAATTACGTTTCAATTTGAAAAATTACTTATTTTATACCACAGAATAATTTTGTTGATGTTGGTCCTGAGTCTGAATGCATTGGTGACAATAAATATAAACTTCGTCTAAGCAGATGAAGATTGCGATATGTAAAACCAGAAAAGAGGAAGGCAATAGACCGAATGAGGAAAAATATGGAAGCACCTTCTAGCAGAAGAACTAGAAGATAATGTAGGCACCAAAGCTGGAGCTACCGAAAAGGAAAAATCTCCTAATCGAAATTGAAAACGACTGTTACAAGAAAGCTTTCAGTGGAATGGTGACAGTCTTAGAACCCAACCAACGAGGAATGAAGGGGCAAAAATCGGTCGAGAATTTTTGTATGCTATCGTATTCCTTATAGGTTCTGATTGTCAAGCGCATGGCTTGAAGATAATCTCCGATGGTCCATGGATGCATGAGGGCAACGCCGTTTTGAAAGTTCTGACTACTATTGTGGACGAAGATGAAGGAGAATTTAAAGCACCACAGAACATAATGCTGAAGTAGAGTTCAAGAAAAAGCAGGAGCTTGAACCTCTTGAGTGTACACGGAAAGAAAAAAAAAGTTCCAAATGCTTTCTTTTAAGTCGTCATTTTGATCTTATAAAGTCAAGTAGTTATAACCAGGGAGCCAGGCTGTTTTGACTTGGGTCTTTAATTACAGCTATTGGTGTTCTCAGGCGATACCGACCAAGCTTTTCCCTGCTCAATTGATACTACTTGAGACAGCCAGGCCAAAACTGCCTGCCTACCAAATTGCACTGACTCGTGTATCGGTACTTGCGTTCACGCCTGCGTCGGTCAAGTAGTTTCAATCGGAGTCTCCGGTTGTTGCAACGTAAACACCAATGCTGTCAGTGCCAATGCCTCTGCGTCGATCAAGAACGTTCGCATGCTGACGTTTTGGGTAAGCTTTGCAAAGTATTTAATATGAACATCAGACACAAGAAAGTGGTATCTGCAAGAACTCTCGAAAAAGGAAAATCTGCTAATCAAAAATCGGAGACGACTTCAACAAGGAGGCTTTCACTGCGGAGGTTAATAAGACAGTCGAAAGTATGAGTTAGATGCAGTCATTGGATCGAAGAATTGCACTTGAGATCCGCGATCCGGATTGCCTTACCCAGGTAGAAGAGGTTGAACAAATGTTGGCAATAGAAATCGAGAAACCAGCAAGCAGGAAGATGATGGTCATGAGACCCAACCGTCAAGAGATGAAGCTCGCAGTTGCAGTTACCAACCCAGAAGAAACGGACAGGCTGGAGAAATTGGTCAGCATAAAAAAAACCTAACGCTAACGGACGGATTAAAATCCTTAAAGCCATTATCGAGGAGGGTAAGGTTAAACATCCGATTCGGTCAAGGAAGTTTGTATGTTGTCGTTTTGGGTAAGCTTCGCAAAATGGTTAAATGACCATCAGCTATAAGAAAATGGTAGCTGCTAGAGCTGCGAGAAAGGGAGATCTCCTAATCAAAAATCGGCGACGACTCCAATAAGGAGGTTTTCACTTTGGAGATTATCAAGACGATGAAAAGCATGTGTAAGGTGCAGTCGGTTGATCTAAAGGTGACATTTGAATTCCGCGACTTGGATTGCCTTACCCAGGTAGAAGAGGTCGAACAAATATTTGCAAAAGAATTTGAGAATTCAGGAAGCAGGAAAATGACGATCTTAGGATGCAACCGTCAAAGAATGAAGATCGCAGTTTCAGTTACCGACCTGGAAGAAACGGACAGGCTGGAGAAATTAGATAATAGACGGGTTGAAATCCTTAAAGCCATTATCGAGGAGGCTAAGTTTAAACATCCGAATCAATCAAGGACGTTCAATGCTGACGTTTTGGGTAAGCTTCGCAAAATGGTTAATAAGGACAAATCAATGTTTTTGACCTGAAAAATTCTTTAGAAAAAATTACAAAAATATAATAAAAAAGTTTCAATGGTAATCTTAAATAAATACTAAAACCAGTACTAATACAATATAATGGTAATTAATTTTGTAAATATAAGTATCATTACAGTGTATCAAGATTAACAGATTTCGCTATAGCACGAAATGATTATTTTATCTTTATTTATTTAGTGTTACCGTGTAATAAATTTAAAAAAAAAATTATTCTCAAATATTTATATTTTAAAATAGTTTTCTATATCAAGAAAAGTAAAAAAATAATTGAAAAAATCACAGAAGAAAGTTGTTGCAATCCGAATACTTAGGAAGATTGCTTTGCTCTCTTACATTGAAAATACATGTATATAGTTACTATTCAAGATTACACTAAAGGTGTAAAAAGAACGATGTCTACGCGGTTTCTAAATATGTCAGAGCATTTAGTGAAATCTTTCTAGCGGTAGGTACTTGCTTTAGTAAAAATGTGTTTGCATTTTTAAAAATTAAAAAGCATCTTCACAACTCTCTTAAGTGCAAATAATTCTGTACCCTATATTTTAAGAGTTGGTGTGAAGATTAAAGTGTCTCGTCTTCTTATTTTGATAAACAAAAAGCTTTATCTTTCTTCGGAAAAAGTAATTAACATTTAATATTACAGAATATAATTTTCAAACGACACTTTTTTAGTATTTCAAGTAAAAAATATTTATTTTATAGCACAAGTGAAAAATAATTAAATTTTCTACTTCAAATTGACTACAAAAAACTGAAGGTTATCTCCGTTTCTATAATTAATTTTCTTTCTTATTTTTAAATTATTTACATTCTGTTACAGAAAAGAAGCCTTTCTTAAATTTACTTTTTTTGTTATATTTATGTTCTTATTTTTTTCTCATACTTATGAATTTACATCTTCTGTGAGTTAATATTTTTAATATGACTATATATAAAAAAGGAATAAATAAAAATTGCATAAAAATAATATGGGATCATTACATAATTTTAAATTTATGAGAAAATTTTAATAATTCAATAATATGCGAAAAAGAATGTCACTCTCATTATTTTCATTTTCATGTAAATTTAGCTTTATTGTGATAAAATGACTTTTATATATTTATGTTTATACGTAGTACAAGATTATCCCAAGAAATAGAATAAATAATATTTAGCAACACTAATGAGGGTTGCATTGGAGAGATAAGCTTTAATGTTTTCTTTTCTGTGTATTTTTATTTTCATTCTTTATTAATATCTTTAATAATTCATTTTCTATTGTATAATATTTACGCATAATTTTTTTCAAAAATAAAATGTAGCTGTGAAAAATATTGCTATAAAAAACTAAAATTCGTATATACTTTGATTTGAGAAAGATACGATAATATCTTTAAGCGAGAAAGATTCCTACAATTCCGTTCCACGAGATTTCACATAGATTTGATACATTCTAGAACGATTTCGATCTACCGCAAGAGAATAAAGGTCTCTTATAAATTCTTTGAAAATCAATAGTCCGTAAAGAAGTCGATAAACCTATATCATCAGAGAATTTTTTTGACAATGACAAAAATTTTATACTTATATTATATAACGACACTATATTTTATATGAAATACGAACAAATGTGAATTCATTCCGTATATATTTTATATTTGTACAAATGCAAATTTTATTTTTTAAAAAAGAGAAAGAAAGAAAATAAAAAGAAAAGAGTGGTAAAGCGCAAGCATTCGAAAGATGGGAATATTTTATTACCCAAGCTCTCTCTCTCTCTCTCTCTCTCTCTTCGTTCTAGACGTGACTCATTCACTTTTTACAGAAAATATATTTCAAACTTTTTTCAAACAACTTTACAATCATAATTTAAATATTCTTAGCTACCCCCTCACCGACAAGTGAGTGGGTCAAATAAATAAAGCTTCAAAATGCTCAGGCATGATTGAATTCCTTTCTCGAGAGAATTTATCAATATTTTGAGTTTTTTCTCTCTAACTATATATATATATACAAAATATGGCTTGCGTGTTTTCATCGACGTCATTATAATTCAATAACCTACAGGTCTTAATATTGCCTCTCAATACTTCGTTAATCTCGAACAAAGCACCTTATTATCCTTCACCGTTTCCCATAAAACGATTAATATGATGTTACGTTGTAAAAAAAATCACTGAGAAAATAGAGAGACAAGTTTTTAAATATCATTATTAGAGCTTAATTATATGTGTCTCGTCATTTTTTTCAATTTAAATTACCTTGGATTTGTAATAAAATAAAAATTAATTATTTTATAACGATTTCTTTATTTGAAAGACGTCACAATAAGTGAACATTTATAAATAAAAGGTCATGAATATACAACATGCAAATTAAATTCAAAAATCATAGAAATATATATATATATAATTAATAAATCAGTCCTTCATACAATCGCAAATAGTTTTATACATTTCATTTCCAAATAAAGCAAATATCAGTCAGATCATATTATTTATTATAGATGAGCTCATCATGCGAATTAAATTAGTCAATAGAATGGAGATATAATAATAATTTAGTTGAAGAGAGAGAGATAGACAATTTAGAGACAAATACAAATACAATGTGATATAAAATAGGGACTTATCGCTTCCTCAGAGTAAAAAGAAATTATCCTCCAAATGTAGAATATCGACTCGCTGACTTCTTTCGTCAAATACTCCACTTGCAAATGAATGGTCCGGACACTTGGAATACAAGCCATTGGAGTTGACCACGAGGAATGAAACCTCTTTTACATTGGAAGAGAACCACTTAAAAATCGCCACACTATAAAAATTTACAACGTATTTATTTCAATAACAGAACAAAATCACATACTTTTGTATTACAATTGCACCAAAATGACACTTGAGACATACCTATAAGGTCGTCGGCGAAGTGCTTATCGTGCAGCGATAAGTCAATCTCGAGGACAATTATAATAGTGTGGAAAACGCATGAGAAGAAAATTATATAAGAAACCTTTCGCAGGGATTCGTATTTCTACGAAAATTTCCGAATTAGATGAATTGGCGGGTAATAATTCCCACTACCTCTCTATTCGAGCGTCTCATCACATCTCTCTCTATCTACTATAAAAGTCTATCTCTATATATATTTCTTCAAATAAGTAATTCGCTTCAAATTCAAACTGTGGTTTGGTTTACTTTATTTTTAAATTATAATAAATAACATTTCTTACTATTACTACTGAAAATTCTTAGAAATTTTCAATAAGGATAGAAACCAGTTTTCTATAATAAATAGACATTGCCAACTTGAGTAGTCAGTCAGCAATTCGATAATTAAGTAGCAGTCAGTTTTTCAAGGCAGATACCAATTCACTTATGAAGCAGTAGTCACAAATTTCGGTAATCGAGTATAGCAATCAGTTCAAATGAGAAAGAGTGAAGAAGTAAATTCATAGTAAACGATCGATCCAGAATTGGGAAGTTTAACAATATTGAATCTTTGGAATATATTGATACACTTTCATTTAATAATAAAGAAAATATTTGACACAAAGTAACGATTGATCTATTAAATTTTAAAATAATCTTAATATATAAACATTTAAAAATTATTCATAAATAAATAAATTATTCAATCATAATTCATTTTATTATCTCGTCCCAACTCAGTTTTTAATTAAACTAAGTTAAATCGAGAAAAAGTTAAGGAAGGAAGTTCTTTTAGGGGAAAATTGCGTAATAGAAAGAATTAATTTTTGAATATAAAGTTTTTAACCTAATAAAGATTTAGATAAACAGCTCAGTCACTGCGGTCATCACGGCTACATGCCGCACTACGTTCGGATGATTTATCCCCTTTACCCATTGTTCGCAACTTGATGGATGCTAGTTGTGGTGCATATTGTCACAATAAAACTCCTTTAAATCTAAAAAATATACTATTTATGTGAATTAGAAGATTATATACAAATCGTATAAAATAGTTTAAAAATTTATCTTAAAAATATTCAACTTCTCTTAATCACAACTTGAGTATACATACTACCCATTCATATAGAATCTTCTCTATTTATTTTATAATGAACTTGAAAACTAAAAAAAAATTAAATCTCCCAACTGATAATTCACTTGAAAAAGCAAGATAAGCGTATTAACCTTGTTATCACAAGCTCTGTTCACTCTCTTCAGTCTACCGCTGAAAAGCATTATAAGCCACACACAGCTCAGTATTGTCAAATCAAACACAGTATATAACTGTGAAGCATATGTGTGATTCAGACTGCTCGTCTGTCACTCATAATACTGACTATTTTGACAGAGTTCTCTTAACGCTAAAATAGCCACTATTTAGAGTTAGTTCATCCATCACTCTTGGTCTTAAATGTAACATGTCCAAATTTCCCACGAGGGTTCTGAATGCATCAATGGAAAGATCAGTTGTACATACATGTCTATATATATGTACGTGTGTAAGGGCGTTTTGACATGAATAACAAAGGAAAAAAGAAGATCAGGATGAGAGCATCCTTCCTTCTACAATTTCATTCTCTTGTCGAGTTGCTGCGCATTTAAAAAACACTTTTCCCCTTTTCTGTTCATATAATATAAGCATGCAATAAAATTATTATTCCCCTCTTCCCATCCCTTCACTCCCTTCCTCGTTTTTCATTATAAAGTCATCCCTTAATCGCTTGGCGGACCCCTCATATTTAACCCCTCCTCTTTAACGTACGTCTACTATACTTGTTTAGTGTACTAACAAGATATATCTAATCCTCCCCCTATATATATATATATGTGTATATGTAATCTTTCTATTAGCAGTCATTGGCTGTAAGTTCATTGACTATCAATTATGGCTGTGCACTTTGCTTGAAAAATCAATCAATAGACACAAAGTTATTTATGTATCTAATGTTCAACACATGCTTCTCTGGTTTCTATCAAACTTCTATAGATATTATCTATTATTTATATCTAATCATGTAAGAAAAGTTTGTAAATATATACAATTATTCCAGGGTTGTCTATTGGAGAAATTGTATATCCTTTTGTAAAATAAAAATATTTCCTTTCAAAATATTTTATGGAAAATTAAAAAAATTCGATCCTTTGAAGGAATAAAATAACAGAGATTTATGTCAATTAAATTATTATTTATTTGTCAGAAAACAAAAAACAATATTTCAATGATTCATCATCTTTAGGTTAAACCTAATAGATATCTGAAAGAAACTATTGGTTGCGATTACCATTTCGTTAGTAAGAGTATTTTTGCTAATTTATATTAGTTACTGTTATGATTTATCCATGAATTCCATAAATTATCCATCCATAAATTACAATATACTTCAAATAATATTCTACAAATTTAGCGTGAAAAATGATGTCCTTTCATTAACCAAACAAACTTATAACCGCTCTTTTCACCATGAAATTAGTCACGGTACCAGCCGATGACTCCAACTACTATTCTTTAAATCTTGGTACTGTAGACATGTATATATATCTATCTCATATTTTTTTCACACAAAAATTAAACCAAAACTGCCAAAAAGTGTAACAGTGGTTCAATTTTGTGAATTTTTAATGGATTAACTCTTCACCAAAAAGGTTCGTATATGCGTTTTCTGGGTTCTTCGAATTTAGACACTTTGTTCTCTTTTCAATTTTTTTACAATATAATATGTATATATATTTAAAAAAAATAGAATTTAATTTTTTATTACAAACATGACACTTTAAACAAACTGTAACCTCGTAAAAATATAATTTATAGATATTAAATTACGTCACTGATGAATGCTCCCATTTGAGCAGAAACGTCTGACAATTTTTTAAAAAAAGAAAAAAAGGTTTCTTTATTTGATCCTCACGCCAATTTAATATTACAAGTGAACTAATTAACAATAAAGGATCAATATAATTCCAAACATGGATAGAATTATATATAATGTTTGTTTTTTGTTACAATGGATAATTCGAAAAGTAATTTATGAGTCTGACAGAAGAAGATGATTATTGATACTAGTTATATGTAATTTTATTATTTTTGATAATTATTGAGATATCTAGATAGTTAAATTGATTGTTATCTTGTAGTTCATAAGTGAATTTTCATTTATTATGATAAGATTTAAAAATCTCAAATAACAAAGTTAATGTGAAGTTGATTTTAATCCTTTCTTCTTTAGTTAGAATTTTAGAATGTTCAAATAAATATCGCCTTTTTGAATCAGATTTGAAAGAAGTGTTGAACTATTTGCTTTTAATTTGGATCTCCGATTAATTGCAATAATAATAATAATAGCAATCTTTTTGGTTAGCGGAAAAACGTGCTTTTGTCGTCTGCTTGACGACTTGCGCGCCACTTGAATCTCGCGAACTAATAAAAGCCCGCGAAATTCAATTTAAATGTCATTGTACGAATTAATAAAATTAGGAGGGACAACCACCAATAAAAATATTTCAAAAATAATTATAGATTAAAATGACCCTTTTTATTTTATTAAATTTAAAATCAAATATACAGTTATTATTTTAACCGAAATGAATAATGTGTACCTGATAAGGTTACACAATTCGATTGTTGAAATGTGTCATAATTTTTTATTTAAATAATTATTTATAAAAAAAGGAAAACACTCATAAAATAAATAATAAAAAAATATTCCATTTCTACTTATCAGCAAAATTAATTCATTTCTGGTATGAAAAACAAAAGGGAAAATTTCCTATCCTACGAAATGGGTTCATTTAGTTAGCAAGTATTTTCGCCGAGTAATTTTGACTCGTAAGCGTCTCCATAAAAAGCATTCGATAATCGATATATAAAGTTTCTTTTCTTTGTTTTTGTAGATCCAGACTTTAAGGAGCCAATTTCAAACGTGACCGCTTCAGTGGGTAGAGAGGCCACATTGTCTTGTACAGTACAGGACCTTGGTAGTTACAAGGTGAGTTTTCCTATTATTGAGGACATTTATGGGTTTCCAATTATTATTATTTCCGTGTGTAATTATAAAATTTTAATGAAACAATTTTTTTATGAGTCAATACATTTTTTTTCAACACGATAATATTTGCAATAATGTCGAAATAAATTTACAAAAAAAGTAATATAATCTGTTAAATCTTTTTTTGCAATATAATATACAAATGTGCGAGAAAATTTTTCCAAACATTTTGATATGTGTTTTTTATTTAATAAAAAATAATTTATATTCCATGTTTATGTTGTTGAACAAAAAGTGGAATGGGAATACAATAAATATGAAATATATGAACAAAATTCCAATTTAATGTAAATTTACATAGAATCTTTTGTATACAATATTGGATGTTTTTCACATTTATAAAATTTTTTTTATTTATATGAATACAATGTGAAAGCAATAAGGCACGTTTGATCAAACAGAACAATTTAATAGAGTTCGTGAGTTGACAACGAAAAGATGTATTGAATGAAATCTAATTGTGTATTCACATCAATGATTGTTTATCACCTCAGTTAATGATCATTTTGAAATATTAATGTAAAAAAACAAAATTTCTTCTTAAAGTTACTATTAACCCTAAAAAAAATTGATTAATATTTAAATTTTTTCCTTTGATATACGATAAAATGAAATAGAAAACGTAGTAAATGGAATTTGCAGTTTTTATATTAAATCCAACATAAATAAATTCCATTAGGTAAATTAAAGGGACTAAAGATTTTTAATGTAACTGGTCTAGTTTATTGAATATAAATAGGAAGGAGGAGGAAGGGTGGAGAGGAGAAGGGGGGGGGGGGGCAAGAGAGTAATGTATTTTTATTGAAGTAAGTGCTTTCCATCCTCGAGTTGAAGTTGCCTTTTATAAAAGACTTCTTTGGCCAGCCAGTTATGCAAAGTTAAATTTCCTGTTGAAAGGATCTCGTTTTCTGGGTCTCGAAGAACAAAGGAACTGTGAGGCGTTGATGTTTGAACATATGCGCACAACTTTAACGGGAAAAGCTTCCTTTAAAAGATCTTTACCATCTTTTAATATTATTTAATAATATACATTTTCAGCAATATCTCTCTGTTTATTATTATCTAGAACTTTAAATTCAACTTCTTTTCGATTTAATTAAGTTTTGAATTATTACATTTTTTATATAGGGGACATTTTTTATGACTATTGCTATTAGTTTGGTAATATAGTGTTGCGTTCGAAGGAGAGTAGTGCTCGATAGTGGGGATGGTCATGCGTATGACGTAGATCACGTGTCGAGATGACAGCCAATGACGTGAGGGTATCCCCTCCATTGCATGGTTATAGTTTAAAAGCCGCAACGCTGAAAGGCAATTATTTACTTTACTACACACTTTCTCTTGATGATAACATTTTATCATTTCTTAAATTTTTGATTAACAAAACGGAAATGATATTTAGTTTATTAAATTGTAATGATAGTTAGAAATCGGCCGGTAAATATTTGTACTAAATATTATCGCGCGTCGATAAACATGTTACCGACCGCGGAGCACAAAGATGTAGTACCTGATTTCGCCGCGCGGGCCGCATCGCCAAAGCTCACTCGCGTGCGCCCAGCCCACCGATCGGCTGTATAAACTGCGCTCTCGCTGAGGACCGTCACTCTCGTGCTACACAAAGTCCAGGAGGGTCTTACCCATCTGACGAGGGAATTTATCCCTAAGGAGCCATACTCCCGGAGTTTTACTCAGAATAACTTTAGTTTTACTCTCGTTCGACGGGTTTTACCCATTGAACATTTTATTGGTTTTTAATGTATATAGTGTAAAGTAACGTAACGTACAGTAAGGAATCAAAATTTATAGAAACGTAAATTTGAATTTACGAAGTTTAAAGTAGATTCCCCGTTTTTAATATCCGTATTTAGATATACTTAGAGTTTTACTCTTTGTACAATTGGAACACGAGTTTTACTTGTGGTTCACCAGTGTATCGCGAATTTTTAGGCAGTATTGCAATTGATTTCACGGCTCATCGCAGCGAGTTGAAGCCGATTTCGTTAATGCGTGGCTCAAATAAGCGACGTTACCAGATTGATGCCGATTCTCGATTCCGCGGCTTAACGTATCGCGATAGACGCCGACAATCGTTGTTTGAAACCGACTTCCGCGATTTATCTGTACGCCTGTATATTTTTCATCCGTAAATAAATAATTTGTTTCAATTTGTAATTAACCCCGTAATTATCCTGTTATTATTTTTGTTGGAATCAAAACGAACCCCGGCTCGGCGAGCTAAAATATTGATTCTTACAATTAAAAACGTTACAAAATTAAGCCTCCGTTTAAAAATAAATAAATTCCAAAAAGTTGTAAAATATTCAATTCTATTACATTAGTATAATTTTCCTAATTTTCAAGATGTTTTCCTTACAACTGCATAAAAGCATTGTCAGACTATTAAGGTAAAAACAGGAAAATCTCTAGAGAGACGGTTGGGCAACGTGTCGTTTATAAGCTCGAGTTGCGTTGGTTCCGGCTGTGCATTAAGATGACGGATAACGACTGCAGAATGTATATACCGGAAGACACGAGGAGTCATGATCTATAGAGATAACGACACCTCTGAGCTACAGAGTTATATTGTCTATGTGTGTGTTTGCTCGTTATTATCTATAACAAGTGACGGAAACTAAATCACAAAAAATTCTTAATTATACTCTCTATTTTTTTTAAATTACAATAAGGATTAAGAAAAAAAACAGATACATTAAATAAATTATAAAATAATGAAAATGACTTTATTCACGCGTAGCAAAAAAAAAAGAGGTAATATTAGATTTTGAAAATGTAGCTTTGAGGAAAGCTAATAACACAGAGGAAAAGCTACAAGTATATGCGTCATTGTGAGTGGAAAATATATACGTGAACATTTTCTGAAATCTAGATTCCAGAACTCTTCACATGCAGTGCATATTAAAGTGACATGAAACAAGCGGGACTCACAGAGGTGTACAACTTTGTTATTACCTTGAAGAAATGACTTTTCCACGTTTTCATTCCATGCTTCCACTTTATGATTCTAGTGGATATAATATCTCTTCACTTATTTTGTAACTTAATAATCACATCGAGCTTTACATTGTCTCATTCGCGACCAAATTAATAGCTTCGTAATTACTTTGGTTTTGGAAATTCAATATAATTAAAAGTTTTCATTCTCCTATTGTTGTTGAAAAGTTTCTCCCTCAAAATTAATTTAATATATATATTATTAATTCATAATTGAACTGTTGGAAAGAAGAACTTGACGTGCGCTCAGCTGGACGTTAATGTCAAAAAATTTAAATACTGAAATTTTAATTTTTAAAAAAGCTACACACGGAGAAATAAAGTTAGCTGATAGTTTAACGGCTGCTAACATGGAATGTTTTTAATAAAAATTCTTAAAAAAAAATTATTATACCCCTAAAGTAAATTTTCCTGAACTTATTTCTTTTCTATGAATGATGATTGTAGCTCCATCTTGTATGAGCAGACGATGCATTCCACTTTATGTAAAGTGCCTATATTGGCTGTACAATATATTTTCCCGATAAATAAGTTGGTGAAAAAAAAGAAAATAGAAGCCACGTTGTAGCTGTACAAATTGCAGCCATTTTTCGAGTAATAGATTTTGTCGCTTCCAGAGTAGTTGGTTGTGAATCAAAGTGAAAAGCAGTTCTTAATCATCAATATATAGTATAACGCAAAGAGCGCGGCGACCTGTCGGTCCCAAGAAATAAATTGAAGTAATTAACTCATTCGTATATAAGGCAACGTTCAAGAAATAATATTACACATTGCATAACTGGTGAGCGTCGATTCAATTCAAGAGCTCATGAGTCTTTCCAATATATATTGTCGGTTCTCTGCGGGTGAGAAAGTAATTTAGCAAAATATTGCAGAAAGATCGATGAAAAATGCGCTCTCTTTTATTCATTTTTTTTTTTACAGCACTCTATAATACGATATTGCCAGTTTTGAAAGGGTGAAGAAGAAAAAAAAAAAAAACAAGAACGACACGATGAAAATTTTTATTGTTTTGGTTGACATTTTCCCAGTGACATTTAAAGCTTTTAAAACCAAAGTGAATGAGATATCTGAACTTATATATTTTAAAAATACAAGATAATTTTTAGAATCAAAAGAATATGAAACAATTTCAAATTCACACCTAATTTTGATCATTGGATTAAATTAAAAGCGAATGAAAAAAAAGTCTCTTTTCATTATTTATATCTAAAAACCCTTTTTTGAAAATATACACCATAATTGGAAAGAATAATTAATAAATGATTCACATTTAAATTCTTTTTAAAATTATAAATTATTGTATCAACTCTGCTGACCTATTAATTAAATTTTATTAATTTTAAAATATCCCAACTATAGACACTTAGGTATCTACCTGAAAGACCCGAATCTGATATAATTTTACAGTTAGCTAATTATTGGAAAATTTATTTTTAAAGATAATTATATCCTTCTTTAAATAACTTCAGTATCTAGATATATGTGATTTCCAAACGTTATTAATTCTGAATTTTGATTTACAATAAATTATAAAATATAAGCTAGAACTTTAATATAAAACATGATTTAGATCTTTGTAATCCTTAAATTCGATTACATTTCTTTGTTTGTTGTTAAAACTGTTGTCAATTTCTTTTTGAATCAAGTCCTCAAAGATAATTCCGTATTGATCGTTTTGGACTCTGATTACCATTTCTGGAATTCGTGATGTGTTGAATACAAATTGAGATGATTTTTATTTCCACTACGAAGCAAAAACTATTATTTAACCGCTCACATGACATTTTTTATCCTATGATCTCCGTTTAATGTTGTTTGATGTTTTTTTAACAGCGTTAGTGAACATTAGCGGTTCTGTAGCATTTTGAAGATCTTTCTCACTACTAATATTTTTCAAAGTAATCTAAATGTCATTAGATCCT